GAGAATCTGTGGTCCCACTCGTCCCTGTTTAGTAGTGGCCCGCTGCGGCTTATCCCGAGGGTTTCCTTGACCAGCCCTCTGAAAACCCGTGCGTCAGTGCGAGTGCGATCCGCACTAGCCAATTTTTCTGATGAAAGTGACCGCGTAGCTATAGAAACGTCACCCGCAAATCCTCTAATAGTTGTATTGAAGGAACTTCTATTCTATTGATATTACCAATTCGAAGAAAATGTAATTAACTAATTATGAAAATAGTTTTGTTAAACATAAATTCGGTACATCGTTAATTGCATAAGGTAAATTAATAACGAGAACCAACTAAATACATAGGTAACTGAGGTGTAACAGCACGTGCGTAACTAATGACTGATGTCCATTTACCTGACGATGTAACTGTTATCGCGACTGTTCCATCCTGCGTCACTTGTAAGTTTTGAGTTGTCACAGCCACACCGTTTTCCTTCACAAACATAGAGTAGTCTCCCTTGAAACAGGATTCCTGAACTAAACACAATAGAGTCTTGGACCAGTTGGTTCTCCATTTCCTATTGACGAGGTCCACGTACTTTTCACCTGATAATAGGTGTTAAACAAACCATTATTTGAGTGACGTCAATGGTACCAGCCGAACTATAATGATCCTGGACTCCAATCCCAGAGATTGGTACACCAACATCTTTCAGAGTTCTTTCATTACCTGAAACATATAGAATTGAAAGTAATTACAATTCACGATGAGAAACGTGTACACCGATATATGTATTGAAGTCTTTTGTTTGTTTTGTACGTTTATGCGTTTTATTGCATCTTTGACTTTTATTTAAGCAATTAGATAAATTAGAAAATTGACAAAATATCACTCTATTGAATAATAAAATTGTAAGTAGATAATTTGTTACTGTACAGCTAGTTATGTTCTTAAAAGAGTAAATCATAAAAAATAGTGCCCATTTCGGACATTCTGGTGAATCAGACAGTTGTCTTGTGTTCCTGTACAAAGTACGTTTATAATGTAATTTGTTTATGAAATTGAGTTTTGAGTTGTAGGAGAGTTGCAGCTGATGTTTGTAATCAACTTAGTTACCTCCCTTGAATAATTATATAATTTCATTTCCTAAGCTTTATAAAATATATTCCTTTTATTTTGTATTAAGAATCTATGAACCATTTCCTGTTATTCCATCCTAAAGACTTATCTATGTGAATATAATTGTTTGACAAGGATACGAATCTCTTGAGTCAAGTAAAAGAGTTTTTTAGAATTGATGAGTATTAAATAGATTTGTAAAATAATCGTCTTTCTAGAAAATAAGGCAACTCTAAATGCATTTCGATACCAGAGTTACTTCCCTTCATTTGGATGCTGAGATTGGCTGGTTTGCTTCGAAAGCAATTTGATTACTTACCTCTCATTTTTTCCTAGCAGCGATAACAATGTGTATTACATGACTTTAACACTAATTCCTATGATGTTGATATTACTATTTCTATGGACATTATCCTGTTGTCAGTTTGCGAAGTCACAAAGAGATCGATTGCGTCACAATAATGGTCACGTGATCTAACTGAGAGTTGTATTCTCGATATAATACAATAGGACACAGATTAGACCGACGTGAAGGTCAGGCAATGACACCAGTGTGATTTAACGTGACTTAGGTTCGAGTCCTTCACCACTGCTAGTTACCCTCACGTGTTCTTCCCCGCCTTCTTAATTTTATTCACGATGGATATCAAGAATAAAGAAATGTAATAAGTGTTATAGTAACTGATGAACAAGGGCGATATCTTATGCCATCACTTCGTTTTATCGTCTTGCCTTTTTCATCTACTCGCTAGATAGTTCATATCAACGATGTTTAGACCGTAGGTTAAAATAATAAACTGGACCACTAGATATGAAAAAAATACCTTTCCGACGCACTTTCATCATTTTGATGATCGCAATTGAATGAAATTGGTGGGGCATAATGGAAAACATGCTCATGAATATTCATATCGTTGATAACAGCGCTATTTCCATACATATTGTTGACAAAAGCCTCACCTAAATGACCGAAAACCCTTTTTATTATTAACTACACGCTATATTTGTGCCCAATGTCATACGTATCTGTAACGTAAACACGTGCCGGCGTACATGCATCAATGGAAACGCCCTATAATTGTCAAACGAAGGAGTAATTCAGACAGAAGCTGTTTGATATAGTAAAATCACTGGAATTTCATTTTAGAACATTTATCTGACAACAAATTATAACAATTTTATCGTATCCACCAATAAAATTACCAAACATTTTGAATCTAGATTTTGTAGGCATCGAGCCACATGGAACATCACGTGGAACAGAGAAAAAAGTAACATATGTATTCGTGACTATTGACTCATAAATCTTTCCCCAAAATGATCCGGCATATTAATTTGCTGAAAACTAGGAACAGAATCTATTAAAGCAAGGTTTTCTACACAATGTGTCCCAGGTACGTTTTAAAATGATCTTGAAATGGCAAGGTACCGTAATGCACTCTTGGGGAGATTGATAAAAACTTTTGCAATGCGAGATCAAACAGGATGATGATTTCATGGGGGAAAAGTCATCACTTCTAAATTGAAACCGATTTATACTGCAATATGACAATCAATATTTATTTAGAACATTGTTGGTTTAATTTCTGCTTAGGTATCAAATACCTTTCATTTCGTTTTGATTTTTTTTCCCTAAAATGTCCTATGAAGTTCCTTTACACAATTCTTCGATCGACCAAAGTTTGAGTGAATCAAATGGTTGTTTGAAGAACTTCAGGATGTACCACTGGGTCTATGGTATGTGGTGTTGATTGTTGAAGCACAATATATAATTTGTGAATGAAGTATCTTAAGATCTACATCCACACATTACTAATACCTTGGCCCATCGTTCCATTGTTCAGTCATTGTTACGTTTTTTTGTGAATGGATTTACTCGAATTCGTACTTTTGTCATACAAGTACATTGTTACCAAACAATATGTTAAGAATCCAGGGTAGTGGGTCGTAGTAAGGAGGGGCAGAAAAAGGTTCACATGAGAAAGACACTGCTCTCCTATTTTTATTTGTTACAATGTTAATCATTGGTTGACATACTTTCTCTCTCTCTCTGTCTACTTCAGTTACCATGTCTGTCATTGGTTAAGAAAAATCAGGCTACCGACAGGATGCCCTATCAGCTGGTGTCGAGTATTACTTAAGATCTATTGAGAAATACTTGCTATCTTCAAATCTAAGTTTTCTTAGTTCTGGTTATTTATTTTTGTGAATAGATATTAGTACACATGTAACAAATACTGGTATGTGTGTTAGTAGGACGAGAGACGAAGGATATAGATCTGTTTGTCGGTGACGTCACAGTTCTCTGTGGTACGGTTGGAATGAAGTAGAGAGAAATGACTTTATAGTAGAGAGCGGATTTTTTTTTTTTTTTTTTTGTCTTTTTTTTTATTGACTGCGAAATGTATCATATAATAATACAACTAAACTATATCATATATAAAGTGGTAACGGATTTCCAGTGTTTCAATGAGATTCTATTGACAATTTAAAGCTTTTGGTACTTTGATATTTAAAAACGTGCTTTGATTTTGACGTACAACAATTCATGACCAGAAGCCGAGAACGGGCCGATTCCAGTCAAACGGTCACTGTGGTCAGCTTGCTCTGTGTACGTTAGTTGCAGATCAGTTGGGAATTTTTTTGATGATCAATTTACTATTTGAAAGGACAATAACGTATCAGATGTAATTAACAGGTTTTTTCAGCCTTTTCAGTCTGTCAAGAAAAATAAACCTTTTAATAAGCGAGAGTAAACAAAATCAAATACATTTGTAATTGTATACGATACTTTTAAAATCGAACTCACAATTGAAATGCCTTCTTCTGAGTAGAAGTTACTTGTTACAATAATGCCAGTGTACTAGATAAGCGTGATTCTGTCGCTCAGAATCTTATATACTGAAATATATACAAAACAAACGTTACGTTTTCACACCTCTGAAAAGCTTACCATTGACAACGCTGTGTAAACGTGTAGGCGAGCTCATTCAATTTTTAATTGAAAGAGATTTTCATTATAAAGAAATCATTGGTCAAGTATTCATTTGGAACTCGCATTCTTTAACTGATTTTTTGTCGAGTAAATGGATTCGAGCGAATTAAATTCATTGTCTATTTTAACAAAATCTAGATGAAAATGTATAAATTGCTTGGCAAAGCCATTATTTGATATGCTAAAAACGATAGGGAGACAAGTATATGATAGTGCTAGCAGACGGTAGCGGAGACAGCTGTATGATAGTGCCAGTAGACAGTAGCGGAGACAACTTATGATAGTGCTAGTAGACAGTAGCGGAGACAACTTATGATAGTGCCAGTAGACAGTAGCGGAGACAATTTATGATAGTTCTAGTAGAAAGTAGCGGAGACAACTATGTGATAGTTCTAGTAGAAAGTAGCGGAGACAACTGTATGATAGTGCTAGTAGAAAGTAGCGGAGACAGTTGTATGATAGTTCTAGTGGAAAGTAGCGGAGACAACTATATGATAGTGCTAGTAGAAAGTAGCGGAGACAACTTATGATAGTTCTAGTAGAAAGTAGCGGAGACAACTATATGATAGTGCTAGCAGACGGTAGCGGAGACAGCTGTATGATAGTGCTAATAGACGGTAGCGGAGACAGCTGTATGATAGTTCTAGTAGAAAGTAGCGGAGACAAGTATATGATAGTGCTAGTAGACAGTAGCGGAGACAACTTATGATAGTTCTAGTAGAAAGTAGCGGAGACAACTATATGATAGTTCTAGTAGAAAGTAGCTAAGACAACTTATGATAGTGCTAATAGACGGTAGCGGAAACAGCTGTATGATAGTGCTAGTAGACGGTAGCGGAGACAGCTATATGATAGTGCCAGTAGACAGTAGCGGAGACAACTTATGATAGTTCTAGTAGAAAGTAGCGGAGACAACTTATGATAGTGCTAGTAGAAAGTAGCGGAGACAGCTTTATGATAGTGCCAGTAGAAAGTAGCGGAGACAACTGTATTATAGTACTAGTAGACAGTAGCGGAGACAACTGTATGATAGTGCTAGTAGACGGTAGCGGAGACAGCTGTATGATAGTTCTAGTAGACGGTAGCGGAGACAGCTGTATGAAAGTTCTAGTAGACAGTAGCGGAGACAGCTGTATGATAGTGCTAGTAGACGGTAGCGGAGACAGCTGTATGATAGTTCTAGTAGACGGTAGCGAAGACAGCTGTATGAAAGTTCTAGTAGACAGTAGCGGAGACAGCTGTATGATATTGCTAGTAGACGGTAGAGAAGACGACTACACCGTGGTACTGACAGACGGTAGAGGAGACGACTACACCGTGGTAAAGACAGAGGGTAGAGAAGACGACTTCACCGTGGTACTGACAGACGGTAGAGAAGACCACTACATCGTGGTACTGACAGACGGTGCAGAAGACCACTACACCGTGGTACTGACAGACGGTAGAGAAGACAACTTCACCGTGGTACTGACAGACGGTAGAGAAAACGACTACACCGTGGGACTGACAGACGGTAGAGAAGACGACTACACCGTGGTACTGACAGATGGTAGAGAAGACGACTTCACCGTGGTACTGACAGACGGTAGAGAAGACCACTACAACGTGGTACTGACAGATGGTAGAGAAGACGACTACACCGTGGTACTGACAGATGGTAGAGAAGACCACTACATTGTTTTACTAGCAGCGAAATGATCACGCAATTACAATGATTGGCTTTTGACTACCAAACACTATATGCATGCCCACTTTTCAGATAGTTAAGTAAACTTCTATTAGTTATAACAAATTATGATAAAGACAAGTCTGGTAATGGATACGCTCTTATAACACAATTCAGGCGTACTCCGTTTTCGATAAAAGTACATCAAATGTTCCACAGGTTCCTTTACATTGGCAGGATTTCACCTTGAGCACGAAACCCCCATTATCAATATTATATCTGGGGCTAGTTAATGCCAATTACCATACTCAGTGGTCGCCATCAAAGTAGGCCAGATTCGACAACCTACTTTGTTGATAGTTCAAACGTAATCTTTTCAGATTTTTATGAATGAAAGGTTGGTGCTCACCATAGCGGTTGTAGTGTTTGCTCAAAGTATATAGGACGGACCTTGAGAGTTGGTTTAGGTAATTATGCTGTCGATCTATGTATGTAAGTGTGTGGGATGGAAACAGACACGACATTGTCTATTGTGAAATTTATTCTTATTTTGCATTATAAAATATGAGACCATTTTAAGACCGAGTTTAACACAGAAATGGTACACAGGTGTATATTAGATATCAGACGTAGTCAATTAAAATACAACTAGGTAATATTTCTGGTAAAATATGAAGAACTGTTTATCTAATAAAATCCCTTTATTGATGCCGTAATTATCCAGCTAGAAAGTTATTTTAGGCTTATAACATAACTCCTGGTCATTACCAGTATATTATATATTGGCGTACCAGCTACGTATTAACCAACCTTTTACCAATATTTTGAGCAGCGGGGTCAATCGTCAAACACCTCAAAAGAAGTTAACTCTGCTTTTTGTTACAATATTTTTTTTCTTTTGCAGATATCGCATATAATATTACAAGAAAACGCAGTTTTTTCCGGAATAGTTAGTTTCCAAAGAACAGCATGCATTCTTTCTTGATAACACCTGTTTGATTTTAGAAATCCCAAGGACAACAGGTTTCGTCAGAACACCTTGCCCCATGTTTCCAGATCTCCAAGTATCAACAAGTGTCTCAGAAATAAAATGTTTTCACTGACTCTACATCTGCGATCAATACCTGTTTTCTCCTGTCATCACATCTCCCATCAACATCTGTTTTCCCTGACATTGCATCTCCCATCAACACCTGTTTTTCCTGACATCACATCTCCCATCAACACCTGTTTTTCCTGACATCACATCTCCCATCAACACCTGTTTTTCCTGACATCACATCTCCCATCAACACCTGTTTTTCCTGTCATCACATCTCCCATCAACACCTGTTTTTCCTGACTCCACATCTCCCATCAACACCTGTGTTTCTTGACTCGACATCTCCCATTAACACCAGTGTTTTCCTGACATCACATCTCCCATCAACACCTGTTTTTCCTGACATCACATCTCCCATCAACACCTGTTTTTCCTGACATCACATCTCCCATCAACACCTGTTTTTCCTGACATCACATCTCCCATCAACACCTGCTTTTCCTGACATCACATCTCCCATCAACACCTGTTTTTCCTGACATCACATCTCCCATCAACACCTGTTTTTCCTGACATCACATCTCCCATCTCCCATCAACACCTGTTTTTCCTGACATCACATCTCCCATCAACACCTGTTTTTCCTGACATCACATCTCCCATCAACACCTGTTTTTCCTGACATCACATCTCCCATCAACACCTGTTTTTCCTGACATCACATCTCCCATCAACACCTGTTTTTCCTGACATCACATCTCCCATCAACACCTGTTTTTCCTGACATCACATCTCCCATCAACACCTGCTTTTCCTGACATCACATCTCCCATCAACACCTGTTTTTCCTGACATCACATCTCCCATCAACGCCACAGGCACTCGAGGCCAGGATATTATTTTTTAAACATTGATTTTTGTTTTATTACAAAAATCACTATGGAAAAAATCATTTCAACACCTGTTTTTTCCAATTTCTAAGTTACATATTTTTCCCCACATCTCCCATATTTTTCATCACATCTCCCATCAACACCTGTTTTTTTCACATTATCTGCATGATTTTTTTTCTCCCATCAACACCTTTTTTGAAAAAAAATTCTCATTACCGCCAGCTTGATTGAAAGTTGATGCATTCTGTATAATCCCTTACCATGATATTGTATCCGAGTTGGCAAATGTGGACTTTCTTTGCCCAGCCATTATTTTTCCATCCCCGCAAATGTATTTGTAGAAATAAAAATATCTATTTTGAAGTTACGCGCGTAATGACATCGGAACCTTTCTTACCTGTTCACTGGTATAGTGCTATCCAGAACTCCTCTCCCAAAAAGTCGGAGTGACCGCCCTTGAAATGGCATGTTACTTCCGTCAAAGATAATTACATGGACGAAAAAATCTCCGGTTATTGAGATGTTAATCTCATGTACGTATTGTGAATTTCTCGTTGCCTGTAATGTTATGCACCAAATAAAAGGTAAATATACACACTACCTACGGATACATATTGTTTTACAAGGAACTTATCATAACTACTTTTTTGAGCCAGTTTCCAAGCGAGGGGTCGATTTTTTAAAATCTGGAGTTGCTTGCCTTGTGTATTTTTAATGACCGTGGACCTCGGATTTGTCAACCGGCACATAAACTTGAATTCTGCTGATATTTCGTTTAAATAACGTCAGTCATGAGTGCTAAAACAAAAATCAATGTTTAAAAAATAATATCCTGGCCTCGAGTGCCTGTGATCAACACTTTGTTTTGTTGTAGAGGTCGAATCCTAACTCGCTATAACTTTCCATAATGTTGTACATTTGTCTATCTTACTTATGATATAAAAAAGCATCTCGTCGCGTCCTGAAATGAATAAGATCACTATGATGGCTAATAATTATTTATGTTGAGTTGATCTCTTATAATATTTTCTATAAACTGAATTTACAGTTAGAAATATGTCAATTTTTATTCGTTAAACATTCTTGGTGTTTTTATCGAAAGCAACTTCGTCAAAAGATATCATTTACCAGATCGGTACAGCACAGTACAAAATCTCGGTAATCAAGTGTCATGTATAAATACAAAGTACAGTGTTACTTTCGAGGAAATGTGTTGGTAGATATAATGTGAAAATAGCTAGCTAGTTACAACACGTTCATAACACACAATTTCAGTCTACATGAACAGAGATAGTTCACTATTCAGAACACCTGTATGATACGATTAAGGTAAGAAATATGTTCTCACAGAACAGACAGCTGTAGAGTTATTTGGGTCAAATTTATTGAATACACTGTTTACATAACGTATTGGCTGGGTCTTTAACCATGATGAATGAAATCAGTAGTCCTGTTTTTTCTATTCATTTTATAATATCACTTACAAGGTAATTTAGGAAAAAACATACAAGCAAAACACATTTCAACAAATACAGGGTAGATATAAGGCCATGTCAAATATAGAACAGATTCATTCACACATTGGAACATTTCAAAATATTTGCACATTAGATATAATTACACAAGTTGTATGTGGGAGCGATGATTATTTCAAGGCCAGTCGACGATCTATAGGCAGAGTTTCACGTGTCGTTCAATGCGTGACCAATATCATAGTAAAGCCAGCCACTCTAAATTTTCCTTGCAGTAAACCTTGCATGTGCAAATTATTAAAATAAATAACCAAATTATGTCCACTGTATGATTATTCTTTGTAAATACGTAAACTACCCACATATTTAATCAAAGAATCTTGACTGAAAATTATTAATTCCGACGACAATCAAAATATTTCAATCATTGAAGTGAAATCAAATGGTTTAAGCGTTTTTGTATGGCTTCAACATTACAGATTTTTCCACAGACATTAGTTATACGTGTCCGTATCAATATTCAGCTACGATTTGTGATATAATCCTTTAACATGCAACGCTGTAATCGGCCGAGTAATCTCATTTGTCTGTCTTCTACAATTAAATATATTAAAATGTACTTTTACCCTTCAGCTTTTATTCAGTGTATTATGGAAAAATTCAATGTTCGTTGGCATTTTATGGTAATTATTATTTGACTTACCTTGACTTGGCAATGGGACGTAAATCGTTCGTTAGACGTAATAACGATATTGCATTTAAATGTCTATCTCTCTCTCCCTACAATTGTTCGTTTTTTCTTTTTGTTTTAGTATTAGTTTTCTATTTTTAATGCTATTTAGTTTTTTTTTTCTTCGCAGCTCATGAAAGATACAAATGAAAATACCATGACAGCATTTACAACGCTCTATATACTAAGCAAGTTATTTTTCAATAACATACGTTGGCGAGGTGACTGGCATATCAATACATGTATATCATTATTATTATTTTAACTATTGATGATATAAATGAATGTAAAATATTGATGTATGATATACATAGGTGTACCTACATATGTAATGGTGAGCTAACTACAAAGGTACCGCAATGTTCTACACAAAACACCTGACAACCAGTCCACATGCACTGTACAGTTCTATGCTTTCTTTCCTGTTGGTCCTCAATAACCGTCTAAAATCTATCTGAGCGTACGTTGACGTTGTCAGTTTGAATGGTGTTGTCAGGTTGTAATGACTTTGTCAGGTTGTAATTACCTTGTCAGATTGTAATGACCTTGACAGGTTGTAATGACCTTGTCAGGTCGTAATGACTTTGTCAGGTTGTAATTACCTTGTCAGATTGTGTAATGACCTTGTCATGTTGTAATGACCTTGTCAGGTTGTAATGACCTTGTCAGATTGTAATGACCTTGTCAGGTTGTAATGACGTTGTCAAATTGTAATGACTTTGTCAGGTTGTCATGACCTTGTCAGATTGAAATGACCTTGTCACGTTGTAATAACCTCGTCAGGTTGTCATGACCTTGTCAGATTGAAATGACCTTGTCACGTTGTAATGACCTTGTCAGATTGAGATGACCTTTTCACGTTGTTATAACCTTGTCAAGTTGTAATGACCTTGTG